TAGCAAATGCTTGGTTTCGTTCATTTAGTTCGTAGTAAATTATTAGTATGAATATTCCGTGAGATAGTTTTATTTGAATTATGCACTGATTATTTTGAGCTTATTCTGTCGTTGTTGTCTTTTGATTTTCACCTGTCTCTTTTCGTCTATGTATGTGTGAGTTGTTGTTGTTGTATGGGTTACTTTGTGGGATCGAACCCGTATGGATTGAACAGAAACACTTCGGGGTACCAGAATTCTTAATTATTCATTTAATTAATTGGCTAGTACTGTTGTTCTTATGCATACATTTGATGTGTTTAGTTGTTTTGTGGATAAATCAAATTTGTTTTAATTGCACTGAACAATTCATTTTGGGTGCTCTTCAGTCACTATATATTTACGGAGTAACGTCATCTGAGGCGTCGTTTTAAAGTTATCAGTCGCATACATTGCGACATTTATCAGCATTCGTTATCAATACGGATTCGCCATTTGGTGCTACTCTTTAGATACATTTGAAAGTCAAGAAAATTAAAAGTTACTATCCACACTCTAAAAAGTAGAACAAATTTGAAGATGTTTTTATAAACGTGTGATTTTGTAAGGATTTATTCCCTCATATTGGGTTTATCGAGAAGCTACAAGACATTCTTCAAAGGTGGAGAATGGAAGTCACAATTCGACGATCTGTTCAATGGCTTCCAGTTGCGGGTCGTTGGACTCGTATCTCAATAATGGGTACAAATTTTGATGAGCATCTTCATTTTGCAACGAAAACTGCATCGATGGAGCACGATAGTGACACACGAACGACTGCTATACTTCTAATACCAGGTAATAGGAGAGTAGCATGCTCAAGGAATGACTGTTCCCAACACAACATTCCAATCATGTTGCTTGATACATTGTGTCGGTCATATTTGCGACGTTTCCATCTCAATTTGATATCGGAGGTTATTTTACGAAGTTGCAAAACAGCTCTGGAATCAGCATAACGAAACGTCTGACCATTTGCATATGATATATCATAAATCGAAGAATCATCAGTATCATTGAAGCATCATCTCATTCTTTAAATGAAAG